ACACCTTCGGGGCCCCCACCAATTTTAGGTTGAAGATAAGACTGATTAACCGCACCTTCTTACGGGTGAAGTCAAATCAAGGAAGACATGGTGCATGCTTTCTTATTTCCTATCAAACTATTTTGGTCCCGTGAGCCCATGTTTTGGCCGGTTGTGGTCCACGCTTTACCGATGAATATTTCCGCTATTCATTAGTTTAAATGTGATGTTGTTATGTATGTTTACTACTGAGTATGGATGAATTATGTTCATGGACGCCTTATATGATTATGTCACGTTGATTTGCGAGTGACGTCACTTGGTCATACGACGGTTGTACACGCGCTTAGATGCGGGCTGGGGCGTGACAAACAAAATGGCAAGGAATTAAGCGGTATTACGTACAAGCAGTTTAGAACCGGACGGAAGAAGAAGAAAATAAAAACACAATGGGCGGAAATCAAAATGAATCATTAACAACCAATTAAAACGGTGAAATTTATCAATGTAAGCGAGAATTAAAAGGCTCTGATACCGGATGTTGAGAAATTCAGTCCCAATTAAAATCTAATCTCACTAAACATGATAAAAATTGTAGAATCAAACAATAGGAACATTAATCGGTTGATGAGAAACCAAACGTTGATGGTGTCATAGAAGAAGATGATGCCATGATGTTTAGATTCTCTAAGGATACAAGCAGATTTTTTGATGGATTGAAAGATCTCCTTTGGGTCTCTTAATATAGGTGTTCTTGAAACCTTTGGGAAGAAACATGTTCTTTCGTTTTTAGTCCTAAGAATGGAACGAACGATCTTGTATCAAAGAGAAACCCATTTGGTCCCTTTTGTATTATTTAATGTTAAAACATACCCATCATATGTTGACTATACATAAATACAGGGACCAAATATGTCATATGGCAAACTTAACTTGTAAGACATTAATGTCCCCAATATATATTAAATTATATAAATGGTCCAAACGCACTTAAATGGAATATTTTTCAACATAAGCGTCATGCCCCTCCTGTGATAACATAATTGAAGCACATGTCCTACTTTGTTTAAAAAAGAAACACATGCCCCTATCTGAAAATGGGTCAAACCACAAGAACATTTTCCGTACTTTTCCCCTATTAATATAAGTAAATGGAGGTTAAATAGCATTAATCAATTGAAATAAAAAAACATCAAATTAATGTAGAACCCATTACTCTTGGTGTTTAAACGGAAGAAAATTAACTTCCGTTTGTCTTTTGTTGTCTAACACTTCGTTTCATTTCAGATAAGAAATAAACTATGCATTACATACAAGTGTTTAATCCCCGTAGACACGCCAACATTTTTTATATTCCCATTACACCCCTAATATTATTCATGCTTATAGAGAGGTAGAGATAGAGATGTAAAAATTAATTGAGACTTTAAATGGACAAGGGCCACTTTATTGTCAGGGCCCAAGTCCCATCAAATTGGTTTTCACGCCACTGAACCCTACATGTATAAGTACACGCTGAAAGGGAATGTTCAGTAGACGATAACAACAGCCGCAAAGCATATTCAAAGCATTTTTCCTTTTTACAAGCTAGTATAGAAATTTCTACTGTTCTTAACCATTTCTCGATTATTATCCATGGAATTTCTTTCTACTTCAATCAGTTAGGGATCCTTAATGGCGCTCAATCGTAGCTGCAAACTACAATTTGCGAACTACCAGTACCACATAATTAAAAGAAAAATAAAATTAGAGAGAATGTATGTACCGGAAGAACAACGACACAACAAATATGGAAAGCATCACTCTCGAGAAGCATCACTCTTGGTTGTAAGAATCTCGCTTTGTGAAATAAAGCCAAGAGGTAAACACATAGACGAACATTATTAATGAATATATTTCGTATTTTACGTATGCAAATAGATAAGGGAGCATGGTTATAGAGTTAACGCAGAAAGATGACATCCAAATGGTATTAGTTAGTAGTACAATAGTGGCAGCATGATGTACAAATATATTTATCAGTAGTGTTACACCAATATTTTTCTTGTAGAAAAGGCCGGCCCTTATCTTCATTCACTCTTATAAGTATTTATGAATATTATGCATCGTTAATTAGCTTGATTGCAATTAGGATGCTTCATTACGTGGCTCGTCATGTGACCGTCTTGATTCAACTGCACAAGTCATCAAAGACTCGACAAATTTGTAACGCTTTTCATTTTTAATGCTAGGTTACTGTATATATATATATATATATATATATATATATATATATATATATATATATATATATATATATATATATATATATATATGGGAAAAGTTGAGTGTGGGTGGCATTGTTAATTGAAACAATAAAACCGACATAAATGTACAACCATTGATGAAGTATATGGCCCAGGAGCCCTCGACCCACATAGTTCCACCACTACAATCCGGCCCAATAGGCCGAGGTGGCCCAAGTACATCAAACAAAACTCCGGACAACCCTTACTACAACAAGGCGTATGAGACGTATGGCCTGAAGAGCCCTGGGTACGTGCAGCCTATAACACATGAAGAGCTCCATCTTTGTACGACCTTCACACAAAAGAGCCCTGGGATACGTACGGCCCAGGGGCGTACGTCCAACAACAGTCTTCCAGGCACATTGATGCCATAAGGGGACGTACGACCTCTAACACATGAAGAGCCTTGATTACGTACGATCTCTAACACATGAAGAGCCTTGGGTACGTACGACATCTAACACATGAAGAGCCATGGGTACGTACGGCCTCTAACACATGAAGAGCTCCATCTTCGTACAACCTTCAACACAAAAGAGCCCTGGGATACGTACGGCCCAGGGGACGTACGTCCAGCAACAGTCTTCCAGGCACATTGATGCCACAAGAGGACGTACAGCCTCTAACACATGAAGAGCCTTGGGTACGTACAACCTCTAACACATGAAGAGCCCTGTGTACGTATGACCTCTAGTACATGAAGAGCTCCAGCTACGTACGGCCCTTTGGGGATGTACGTCCTTCACCACATGACGGCCCTTCGGGGATGTGCGTCCTTCACCACATGACGACCCTTTGAGGATGTACGTCCTTCACCGCATGAAGGCCCTTTGGGGACGTACGTCCTTCACCGCATGACGGCCCTTTGGGGACGTACTTCCTTCACCGCATGACGACCCTTTGGGGACGTACGTCCTTCACCACATGACGCCCCCCCGGGGACGTACGTCCTCCTGCACATGAAGTCCTCCCCAGCTATGTACGGCCCCAGGGGACGTACGTCCTCCTGCACATGAAGTCCTCCCCAGCTATGTACGGCCTCAGGGGACGTACGTCCTCTAGCATATGAAGTCCTCCCCAGCTACGTACGTCCCCAGCACGCCACCAAGGCCCAAATGGCAACATGGTTTTCGGCACATGCAGCCCTCGGGTGCATATAGCCGAGGGCGCTCTGCTCGATAGGGTCTCCTCTCCACATGCTCTGAATCACCACATTAAATGCGGTGTCACGTCCAACCACCGCATTAAATGTGGTGCCACATGCTATGCCGCTGGTTACTTTCCACGCGTACCTTCATTAATTACACCACATTTATAGAAGCTATAAATAGCTAGCCTCTTGGTCATTGTAGAGGATCCTAGATCCGAATCTCGAGTTCATTTATAATACATATCTACTCTAGCGCTCTCTCTTACTTGTTGCGCTGACCTCTTTCTTGATATTTCTTATAATATCCCTCGGATAAGCTACCCCCCCGGGTACACTAACCGTCAACCACCTCTGCTAGAAAGGTGTTTTTACTTTAGCTACACAAATTTTTCCGCCACAAGGGTGTTGTCCTTAATGTAACCTCTTATGGGGAAAAAGTTGAAAAAATTATAACCGATATGCGAGCAAGATGAAATCATCATAATCAACACACAAATTTCTCCCATGGGCTCTGATTTCGTCTATACGACTTGGCTGATCTTATGGAAGAATTCAAGAAGATCACTGCAATTTTTTATTTCATGACTTCCTGCTCGCTCACATTTCAGACACTATTCAACATCCTTCCCTTTGACGAAGAACCACTACAAGGTAATCAAGTCCAAGTATCTTCAACTCATTTTTACTACGTTATACATAATACTCTCATCAGCGTCTTGTTATAGGTTTGCATGTTGTAAGAATGTTTCCAATTGAGTTGAAATTTTCTAATTTGGTATTGTCTTGTGTGAATTGTTTCAGTTTAGTTCAGCCTAGCGGCCCTAGCAATGTATAGATATACTGTTATCTAAGCCTGATTTGTTCATGTTAGATACTATATTTTTAATTCTGATTTGGTTTGTTTCGATCAAGTTTAGTCTAGTCTGATCTACACTGGAAGCAATCTAAGTGAAAGTTTCCGCAGTAGACCAGTTTCATCATCGACTAGATGTAGCAGCAACATGTAAAAGAAATGTCATTTTTAACTTCATTGTTTTTATTTAATAAATGTGCTTTTTCTAGATACCTAAATAAACAATACCATTAAAATGACATTTTCCAACCAAGAATGGAAGCATGTCTAAACCGATTATAAGGAGCTAGTCATTTGGCAACACCAATGAACCAACTGAGTGATCAATATTAATACTTGGAATTAACAGACATTATAATCTTCACGACACATATGAGTAGATATAATCTCTTACACTTGCGTTCTCTCTACTATTTGGTTATCGTTCACTCTTCTAACTAAGCCATTGTCACCTTGGAACCATTTATCACTGGCATAACTTGTTAGACAAACACTCATTGTAGTATTTTAGATCTGCTTTTTTAAAAATGAATCATTGCTCAAAATCAGAAGTGAACATAATAATCACTTCTCAAGTAAAATGGTGCAAATGCAACGTTTGATGCCAATAAGATAGTCTGAAAACCGGTTAGAGACAATCAGTCAATAAAACCGTACCTGTTTGTGTTAAGAAAAACAGTAACAATACTAAACAACCAAAAGTAAACATGTTTTTGCAAAATCGTACCACTTCATTTACTACCAAGACTCTTCGCCACGTTGTAATTGGTTCAAGGGGAAATTCAACAGAACAAAGCAGGGAAAATGAATACTCGGTCAAGGCGAGATGGAATAGCCACTCGACGGTGGAGATCATATCCGCGATAGGGCGGGCCCTCAGCGTGAGTTTGGTGGGAGCGACCACACCAGAGGCTCCCTCCCCCTTTCGCGAAAAAGAAAAAGGAAAAATAAAAAAAAAAGAACGCGAGACGAAGACTAGAGGACCATCTCTCTCTCTGGAGCTGAGCGCTATTCGGACACGCATTCATTCAATTGCTGGGAGTGTCTGCCCGTGCCTTTTCCTCCTCTCTACCATCAGCGTCGGTTTGGTGGAGTCTCCGCGACAATTCGACGGCGGCGGAAGTGGCGTGCGGTGCTTAAACGTCGTCGTTTGCGGCAATTGATCGGCGTGTGAACTGAAAAAGGTGAGCACCGACCCTCGCAATCATAAAGTCAAGCGTCCGCGATCGAGGTGCTTTTCCTGCATTTGTTGCCTATTTTACCACGGACCACCTGGATTTCTTTTACTCGTGGCGTTTTTAGAGATTGTGGTTGTTTGCTACTTCAGTATTTCCTTATATTTTTGGGTTTATTCTTGGCCGTGAGCTATTGATATTTTCACTTCCGTTTTCTCTCTCCAATTCACTTCGAGTTTGGCACTTCTCTTCCTGGGACTAATATGTGGCTGTAATTGCGCATTACGAATAAGGGTTGAGATTATAAATTACCGTAGTAAGTATTATACATTATAATTTACCTAAAAGATGTACTTCCTAGCGATTTCTAAAGGCTTCTCATATTTTTGCTATGAAATGTAACCATTTCGATCAAAAAGATTTATTTTTGCTTTGAGCTCTTTGATAGTGAATTATGTGAATCATAAGGATCGGGTACCGGGCTTTGTTACTCTTCTTTTTAATCTATATTATGTGTTGGAGGATGTCACTTTTCCAGTTTTCGTGCACTGGTTTTTCCTGCACCTTGCAAAAAAGCCATCTTTAATTGATTTTCTTGGCCTTTTAAAAATTATGTATATTTTCCATTTCCTGCTAACTTAGCGGATCCATAGCCTTTCATCAGAAATAATATGAGGTTGTTTGTTTGAGTCATTCAATGAGTTTATACAAGAAGAGTTTGGTTTTCATTGATCAAAGTGTTACTGTCTAATATTATATCCCTTTCTATTCCTTGGTTGTTTGACTCATTGTCTTTAAGGTTGTTGCAGGCATATGCATAGTTAGATTTGTGGAATTAAATGCTCACACAGAAGTACACGTTGAGGTAAAATAAGCTTAAGATCCTTGTGCAACAGCAGTTGTGTTGGAAGATGTTGGAAGGTCCAAAATTTGCAGGACTAATAGACCTAAATCAAAACCATGATAATTACGGGCTCTCCCAAAACTTCTACCATAAACTTGGTGAAGGGTCAAACATGTCAATTGATAGCTATCCAAGCTTGCAGATGAGCAATGGTGGAGGGTCTGTTGCAATGTCTATGGATAACAGCAGTGTGGGGTCCAATGACTCAAACACTCGCATCTTAAACCACCAGGGTCTCAAGCGCGTTGCCAACAACTACTCGGCTCAAGCCAGTGTAAACAAGGGGAAAGTTTCCCATGGGTTGAGCGATGATGCACTGGCTCAAGCGTTAATGGATCCACAATATGCTACAGAAGGGCCCGAGAATTATGATGAGTGGACAATCGATTTAAGGAAACTCAATATGGGGCCAGCTTTTGCTCAGGGTGCTTTTGGAAAACTTTACAAGGGGACATACAATGGGGAGGATGTTGCTATTAAGCTTCTTGAGAGACCCGAGCATGATAACGAAAGGGCTCTCTTGATGGAGCAGCAGTTTGAACAAGAAGTAATGATGTTGGCAAGGTTGAAGCACCCAAACATAGTTAGGTTTATTGGTGCATGCCGGAAACCAATGGTGTGGTGTATTGTGACTGAATATGCGAAAGGAGGATCAGTGCGGCAATTCTTGACAAAGCGACAAAACCGTTCCGTGCCCTTAAAATTAGCTGTAAAGCAGGCATTAGATGTCGCGAGGGGCATGGAATATGTCCATGGGCTCAATTTAATCCACCGTGACTTGAAGTCTGATAACCTTTTAATTGCTGCTGACAAGTCCATTAAAATTGCCGACTTTGGGGTTGCTCGTATTGAAGTTCAGACTGAAGGAATGACGCCAGAGACGGGAACATATCGTTGGATGGCTCCGTAAGCATCTTTTTTCCTTCTCCGCAACTGATTTCTTGTTGTTCACTTACTCAAAAATTGTTTTTATTTATCCTTAGCCGAGTAAAGGGACACAATTTTTCTGTTTTTTTTAGTTTATGCTCCCCAATAGTACTACCCCTTTTCCTGATAGACATTGTCGTTGAATAAACTGATTTTTTTAGCTAATTTTTGAATATTTAGGCATTGGTGTTTGGTTTTACAGGGCTATTTTTGTGCCACTATTTCCTATTTGATATTGATGTTTCGCATTTCCTAAGGAACATTCGGACAACAATTTAATCATTCCAGTGTTTGAAACAGAAACTACTTATTTTTACTCACATAGATGTGTGTATGCTGATTTTGTCCCCTTTCTATGTGAATTGGGAACCCTTGGAGTACTCTTGCTTTTTGTGTTGCGTTTCCTTTAAAAACCCAATTGCAATGCAATCTCCTAGAGAAAAAACAAAGGCTTAAATATGTTTTAGTCACTTTAAATATAGTGGTTCTAGTTTTACGTCCCTGCAAAATTATGTTTTTGTTTTTCATCCCTGAAAGTTATGATGTTTTTCTTTTTAGTCCTTCGGCAAACCACAACCTCTGTTTGACACCCAAACAACCTTGACTAATAGATTTCTTATCATTCTTTATCATGTCATTCAAAAAATATGTATTTTTATTTTTTAGATGGTCATTAAAGCTTATCTTAAAAACGTGAATGACTACTTTTACATTGTTTTAACTCCAATATTAGCCTCCAACTAGTTATAAAATGATGAATTAAAAGTTTCTAGTAGAACTATGCAACCAGCATTATTTTTTTCTAAATGGAGATGATTTTGAAGTTAGAGAGGTCTAAAAAGAAAATAGTGCATATTACAGGGATGTAAGACAAAAAAATATATTAAGATTATTTTCAAGGGACTGAAAACATACTTAATCTAAAAACAAAGCAAAACGTGATGCTCGGGTACTACCTTCCATGTATATGGTCATGGGGACTTTCACTAGTTTGACACCATGTATTACTGCCTAACTGGTTTTTAAAAATTCACTTTCTTGTTTAGAATAGATATTTCATATGTATGGTCACATTTAAATGTGAACTTCTAAGATGTCAGTAAGTGGGTAACCTGGCTCTTGTTTTCTTTGTAGCCGTTATATAGTTCTATTGAACCCTTCCAAATAATTTATTATTCATTATAAGTGGTGTATTGGTGGTGCTCTATCTTTTTTATATCTTTTCTGTTCGAGTACTTTAGACAGAATATTTATGATATTTTCAAGTAATGTACTCATAAATGTATTCCCAAAAAAGGAGGAATTTTTCATTCCAAATCTAAAAACTCTACATAGTTATCTCACGAAACCCACTAGGGGATTGAGGTGATGATTGTAATGAGATTTTGGCTTGGTTCTCTGAGAAGTATGTCTGGATGAAGATAACCCATTGACTTTAATAGGGGATATGGAGCCTAATACATACCACCATTGCTACACTTTATCTCTCATTGAATGGCTTTCCCCCTGGTTTCATGTATCCGACCCCATTGGATTTGAGATTAAGGCTCGGTGGTGCAGTGATGTGCCATTGTATCTATTTTATTTTTGTGAGACATTCAGTAATTATCCGGCCTCTCTTTTCTATTTCATTGTATTGGTGAGATATTGTTGGAAGTTGTATGCTGGATTCATAATACGATAGTATTGAACTTTGAAATTGTGGGTACATGTTCATTTACACCATTGTGCAAATTACAATCCTGTAGGGTTGAAATCTTAAAATTTTCAGTTAACATTGAGTGAAGCATTTGGAATATGAAAATTTATTAATTCTGAAGTTTCATTTAGCTTCATTTAACTCCATCCGGAAGCATTATGCGGAAGTTTATTACTTCAGTTATCATTGTATCTATTTTACTCATAATATGAGTTTGCTTCTCAGAAAGGAGGGGCTCATGATAATTGAATTGTGTGAATCTGATAATGCTATTGCAACTACGTTGTCTCGTAATGAGAAAACGACGACAAATTTCTTACTTTGATAAAAAAATTGACAATTTTCAATTAAAAGGAAAAACACTTCAGTTGTCCTTTATTTAATCTTTATTGGAGGTAGTAAACAAATAGTCCCTTTTTAAAGTTCAAAATGTTTATGTAGCTGTGGTCCTCTTGTGTATGTCACAATGGAATCTTATATTTTAGGCCAGCCAGGATTCCCTTTTATTTTCCCAACGTATAAGTATTTAATTTTCATATGATTGTGTTGTTTTATGGGAGAATGAATAAATATACCCTTGAACTATATGGCGGAGAACATATATACTAATATACTCTACATTTTTTTGGAACAATTGTCACAAAAGTGGTAATGGTGGAACAAGAACAGTTGAACTATATATCAAAGAACTATAGAACGGTTATATCCCTCCACTATTTGGACTTAAGGGAGTGTTCCAATTTTACAATTTTCGTGTATATTTGTTCCACAAGAAAGTTTAGGGCTATCTATGTTCGTTACTTGTCTGGCATATAATTCAAGGGCATATCTATTCCATATCCTTATTTTCTTCCTTTAAATAGAAGCAGAGGGGAATACCATGCTTATTTGAAATGTGCAATTGACATTTGAGTTGCAGGGAGATGATCCAGCACAGGCCTTACACCCAGAAAGTAGACGTTTATAGCTTTGGTATTGTCCTGTGGGAGTTAATAACGGGGATGCTTCCATTCCAGAACATGACAGCTGTGCAGGCGGCTTTTGCTGTTGTGAATAAAGGTGTCCGCCCCACTGTACCAAATGATTGTTTGCCCGCCCTTTCTGAGATCATGAGCCTCTGCTGGGATCCTAACCCGGATGTGAGGCCTCCCTTCTCTTTGGTGGTCAGAATGCTCGAGGCTGCAGAAACTGAGATCCTGACAACTGTCAGAAAGGCACGTTTCAGATGCTGCATGACCCAACCGATGACCATGGATTGACCCTTAAAAAAAGAAAAAAGGAAGAAATTAGACGCCGAGAATATAAGTTGTGTATGGCATTCAAGGGCGATCATTTCTTTGTTCAGATCTAGGAAGGGGAAGAAAGGACATGGCAAGAACTGCTGCTTTGTTTTGTGTTTTTTTGTTTACTTTAAATGGATTTAAGAATGTGATGGTTAGTGGTAATAGGGAGGCTTGATATGTATCTATACATGTCCTTTGTTTATGTGATTAAAACTTCTCTTGTTAATTACTACTTGTTTGCCCTTTACCTCACCATAATCTTAGCATATCAAGGGCCTTGCATAATGCTCTTCTTTGCCTGCCTTCATGTTTTTTCATACTTTTTGAATTTTGAAGCGCGAGGAAATAATTCTTAAATGGAAGACTGTTGTAAATTTGTAATGAAGATTCCTGAGTTTCGTTAGGTGGCGTTTGGATCCCGTAAAATTTGTAAAGAAGCGTAACGCTATGGAAATTATCCTACACCTTGTTTTTCATTGAAAATGGAAAAGATATTTGGAAAATGTGATTAATATTTGGAAAATTACTCTAACAGAAGTAAAACATGTATTATCAGAGAATAAAAATGTGATTAATATGACTATTGAATTATGACTAAAACATTTGTATATTTCAAAATAGAATTATCATGTTCCTATTATCTAAATAGAAGTAATTATTGCCATGTTTTGGCACTATCGGACTTTAGATATGACATTACTTTTCAAACTTGACAATAATTACTCATATTTAGAGAATAAAAATATGACATTATTATTTTGGAATTTTAAAACATTCTAACTTCTATTTCAGAAATATTCCCATAATAGTTCTAAGATGCTTACAAATGATTATATTATCAGAGCAACTCATATACCAAGCAAGTGACTTGGTTTGTTATACTTCCTCGGTGTCAAATTGATTTGCAATACACGGTTATAAGCTTAATGATGCTAAAATAAATCATCTCGCGGATAGTTACGTCAGTTTTTATAATTAAAATTATATATTCATGAACTATATTGAAAGTTCCATAAAATCGCAAAATAAAAAATAGAATATAATAAAAAAAATTGATATCCTAGATAAGTACAAAAATTAAACTTAGATTTTTTTTTGCAAACTGTTTTGTGACAAAGAAAGTATTAAGTTTCCAAGAAAATAATTTAGCGTTTCAAGAGATCCATTTTCTTTTTCTAAAAAAGATCTATTTACAAGGTGTATAATGATTAATTACTTCTCTGGAATGTCTGAATCTCACTCAATCCATCTTTAAACTTCAATGGTATAATATATTATATTCAACTTATATGTTTATTACATCAACTAAACTATTTTTTTAATATTATTGGACAATAACAAACTTCTTTGGGGTAATATTTCAAAATGGATATTTTGTATTGGCTTCTAAAGACCCTTTACAAATACCAATAATATTAATAATCCCTCCACCGAGCAATACAATCCCATTTCGACATACATATATTTATGTAAGATGAAGTTATATTTTACATAGAAAAATTCCTTTTGTACACGTTCTTATACACGTCAGTACACTCCGTGTCCGTGAGAGATTTTTTTTTTGTCTGTGAATGCCAGTTCACAGACAAAACCTGGCTTGTTTTGTCTGTGGAAAATTCTACAGACAAAACAAGACAGGTTTTGTCTGTGAACTGGCATTCACAGACAAAAAAACCCTCTCACAGACACAAGAGTGTACAAGCGTGTATAAGAACGTGTATGCCAAGAATGCCTGTTTTACATAAATATACCTTTTGTTGAGGTTAATTCATGTGGATCCAAAAGCCCAAAACAACTCTTTGAATAGGTATACCAAATATTTTCTCTCATACCTTTACCGTACCAAAACTTTCGCTATGCAAAATTTATATACCGTTACCTTACCGAAGTTTCGGTATACCGCATTTCGGTATACCGAAGTTTCGGTATACCGCATTTCGGTATACCGAAGTTTCGGTTCGGTAACGGTACGGTATCGGTAAAATACCATGCATCTCTCCCAATACAACAAATCATCATAAACTAACGAAATATGCTAAATCGGTGTTACTAGTGACATATTTATTTCATTATTAAAATTTTACAAATATAATTAATAATCTATTGATGTCATACTCAATATTGAACAATAATTATTATTAGTATATTTAAGCAGTTCAACATGCCACGTATTAAAAAACAACACATTCTCCTAAAATAACTTGAACGATATAGATATAATAAATCAATAGTGATCTCTAACAATAATAAATAAAATTATTTAAGCAACATGGATATAAAATTATTTATTCCTAATACTACATCTGTCCCAAAATGATTAGCCAAATCTCAAAATTTGGACCATGGTTTTGATTAATATAATATTATGAAAGTTATAAATTTTATACTTTTATGAAAGTACTTTTAACAAAGAACATTTTCATATAATTTTTATATCATAAATAATTTTCAATAAATGCATATTAATCATCAAAGTTTTGGATTTGACTAATCATTTTGGGATGGAGGTAGTATGATATTGTGCATTTAGTCATTTTTATATTTTATTAAAAAATGAATAAGACTTTCGGACAAAGTTGTGTGCCTCGACTCGTGGAATCCCTATGTAGATACAAAAGTGTATCTCTCTCCACTCATCAGCTACTCAACGACTCAGCGACTCAATCATCGCAACTCGCAAGCTCTTGGAACAAGATGAACTTGTTTTTGGACATTAGTACATTACTAATTAGTCATAAGAGATTTGTAACCAATGTAAATATTAATTTTGGGCTTCATAATTCTAATGGAGTTTTACAATACTCTAGAATTAAAAGTAATAATTGTTGGGTAGGGAGTCGGTACGGTATTATACCGGTATACCGCGATATTTGAAAACATTTACCATTACTGTACCGAAATAAATCGGTACGGTATCATACCGTACCGAAAATGACGGTATACCAATATTCCGGTATTTGACGGTATTTTTCGGTACCGTAAGTGCGGTATACAAATTTTCCGTTATTTTTTCCCACCCCTATCTTTGAATATCTTTGGGGGCCATTAGGCTTAGGTAGGTAGGTTAGGTTTAGGTTAGCACTAGGCTAGGCTAGGCTAGTTTTAGATAGGTGGGGCGCATGCTGCCTCCATGCCGTCCTAGCCGCACGGGGGCGTTATGCTGCCTCGGTGGCGCCGCGTGGCGCCAAACCTTCCCGTGGGGGTAGGGGGCGGGCAGGAGTCGAGGAATGGGGGAAGAAGGGAGTCGAAGGGAGGGAAAGGAAAGGAGTCGGGGAAGGGGGGGAAGAAGGGAGGGAAAGGAAAGGAGTCAGGGAAGGAAAGAAGAAGAATGGGAAGGAAAGAAGAAGGGAAGGAGTCGGGGAAGGGATAAAAGAAAGGAAAGAAGAAGAATGGGAAAATAAAAGAGAAAATATATTGTTTAGTTAAAAATATCACCAGCCCACTTAGCGCCAATTATCTTCATGATAATATCAAATGTGGCCTTATTTTATATTGACAGCAAAGAGCAATTCAGCAAGTGTGGCCTTGATGGATCTTTGTATGGATCCGAAGAAAAGGTTTGGTTATAAAACTTTAGCATGGAAATGCATTATATGGATCAAGAATATTTTCAAATTTCATGGATTGGAGACAGTTTGTTAACTATTGTTTCAGCTAAATTTCGAAAAACCTTCAACAAGAGATAAATATAGAATACCTCTATAGTTGAGTTATCTTGCCTCATACTGATCTTAAAATTTCAGGCAGTTGATGATCGCACAATTGGCCACAATCCTGAGAGATCAAGTCTCCTTAAAGGTGGCATTGTCTACAGTAATGCAGTAGTGTAAGTTCAGCTAAGTTCTTTTGTTTAATATTGAAATGGTTAATGTGCACGTAAAAGTAATAAGTATACACCTGGACATTAGGACATACATACATACATGCCTAAAGTAAATGTAATTATCTTTATAAGTGTGGGCCCACAACCGTATACACATTTTATTCTTCATGAATGTGAAACACCTATGACATCAATTGTTTTAGAAGTACAGTGGAAAGGATTTTCCAGATAGATGAGTAAATTATTGACACATGTACATACACCCCATTGAACTTAGGGATTGGATTCTGAAGGACCCGGCAGGAGTTAGGCAGTCTAAAATACTTAGAAAGTAAACCAGAAAGGATATACATATTCTATTGATAATAATGTAGTGCTTGCGTTCCGAAAAAGACACGCATTTATATATCACAATGGGGCTACATAATGGAGCAGAGCACTAGAGTTAAACTAGGGATTTTGTATTCTATATGACTATATTTCAAGTTTCCCACACACCATGCTCTGCATCATAAAGTAAGGACTCCAACAGATTAGTTGTAACAGTATTTATAGTTTTCACAGTATGCATCATAGGCTTCGGTGTAGTCATGCGCTATGAGGGTTTTAGATTGAATTGGCAGATTAGTGTAGTAATAAATCCATGCCATGGAACCTCCTTATATTCACATTTTGGCACCTCCTTGGTGTAATCAGATAGATTTTTCATTTTAATTGTAAAAAGTTTACATCACATTTCTCTATTTGGCTCATCATGTACCCTATTGGCATGATATTGATTAGAAGTACTTTGGCTTCGAGCTTCAAGTTTGACATGTGCGGTTACTGTTTTAGCACATTTTCAGTTTCCCTTTTCACATTTTAAAGCTGTTATGTATTTCAACATGTTACCCATTCGCCAAACGTTGTGACTTGTAGAAGTGTTTTTCTCCTAGAAGACATCACATTCCTTATCTACTATGTGATGAATAAAATATTCTTCATTAATTATCATAGTATCTTTCTATTTTGGTTGGGATGAGAATGATCAATGTGTCTGTCAGAAATCGGAATGACCCAAAATATTGCATATTACCTCCGTCCACTGTTCTAAAAATCGCTCTAGGCACCCGACAAGTCCCCGCTTTAACATGGACCTAAAATACGTCTAATCTACTATTGCGACCTTAGATTTCATGCTAATGATTAAATAAAATATATTACAAAAACTGAAACTGTATATCAACCATGAAACTTGATATGCAGCTAGTGGTCTGTCTGTTGATCTAACATGTTCTACTTTTAATAGGTCTAAGTATGAACTTCAAGAATTTTTAAAGCCTAGCTTGCGAGTTTCATCGCAATCAAAGAAGCAATCTCTTCAGCCAGATGGTTTTCAAAGTTCAAGTTCAATACAGAAATCTGTAAGTTCTTGCTTGTTTACATAGAGATGTGCAAATATCTTGTATTGGCTGAATGAGTTATTTATGACAAGGTAACATTGAAGAGGATTTGTGGATCTGTTTTTCCAATGATGCAAAAAGAATTAATTTATTTGCACTTACATGGTCGATTCATGTTAGTTTGGGAATAAAGTTTGGATGTTGTTGTTGTTGCACTTACATGGACAGACCTATGTAGCTAACATTGAACTTGCTAACAGGAAGGGCTGGTGGAATTCATTGGAATCTTGAGGATTAAAGTAATTAAAGGGACAAACTTAGCTGTTAGAGACATGCTCTCTAGTGATCCATATGTCGTTTTGACTCTTGGGCAGCAGGTTCATTATTCTCTTTTACTAGGAATTGAGGATAAAAAAATCAATGAAGAAAAACACACACACATGTGCACCTACATTTGTATACTCTAAATCCAGGAAGATTGTAGAAACTCAAATTAGATTTTTCATTAGCTAATATCATCATTCTCACTTGTTTCTTTGATTCAGAAAGCACAAACTACAGTGATGAAGAGCAATTTAAATCCAATCTGGAACGAAGAGCTCATGCTTTCACTTCCTCAAGAATATGGACCATTAAAGCTGGTAATGGTTTGCTTTTATCTTCTATTTCTAATAGAGTTTTTGTTTTCTTTTACGTTTCTGCTAATATCTTTGAATGTTCTATCAGTGACTTATCCCGCATAATTTTCTTTCTTGATTCCCAAATGATACATATATGAACTCTCAAATTCACTTTGTGTTGACAAGTAACTAGATTCTCACCCGTGCGATTAAGTAATAAATATAGTATATGATTTGTTAACATTATTAGTTAATGTGTAAACGAATGCAAAGAGTATAGATGTAGTACACAAAAAAATTATAATTAAGGATAAGATTGATACGACTCATAATTGGTACAAAGTATGTTTTGGAAATAAGGATGTTTTTACTTGGACTATAATTTGTCCCAGACCAGATCAGACCAGTTCAGACCAGACCAGACTTGGATAGTTATAAAAATACAAAGAAACCAGACCAGACCAGTTCAGACCAGACCAGACCAGCAAATTACAGTCCAAGTAAAAACATCCTAAGAAGTGATAAATAAATATTACAATAAGATTTCCAGAACTACACATTTTTAAACACTTCTTTCTAAACAACATTGGTGATATGGTCGATTTGTTTGTCATACACATCACAAATCAATATTTTCAAATTAAACTCTTACGATTTGATACTCTTACTATAACTTAAAGTTAACCATACATAAACCTTCACTTTTTTAATAAGAGTCCAACACGTGACAAAACTTACATCGACTTTTGTTTATAATGATCGCATAAGAGATCACAACTGGAGTTAATTGCTGCTACCTTTGTCCCAAAAAGATTGGCCAAATTGACTTTCTTGATCAATGATGCTAAAATTTAAACAGTGATTTTAAGTATTATATTTGTGTGTGATATATAAATTTTATACTTTATGAAAGTTTTTTTAATAAAGAATATGCTCATATAATTTTTATATTTTATATAATTTTGTATTAAAAAATATCTTTGGTCAAACTTGAACACTACTTACCAAGAAAAGTCAATGGGTGGCCAATTTTTTGGGAAGGAGGGAGTATTTTATTTTCAGTAATAGTAAAAAAGTAAGAACTTGTTCAATTCTGGTACGGTATTACATGTATTTTACTAAAATCCAAATTTGGTACAATCTGATTTGTTCAAAATAACAAACTGCCGCAATTACTTAAACTCATCACTGATAAATGACGACTGAATAAGAACAGCTCCGACGATGTGAAGTTATTGATGTAATGCTTAAAAGTGATAAACTTCATATTGAAAATCCAGACAAAACTATTCATTGTTATATCCAAATGAAAAAAATCTCACTCAAAAAACTCTCAATTGAGAAATCACTAAACCTTATTGATGAATACATATATGCTATAAAACATTTACTACGTATTATATACGAAAAGAACAAAATGGTTCCAAAATACTTGCTGTTTTTTTACTTTTGTATGATTTCTATGATATGATTTAAACTAATTATTACTAAATAAGTGTGTATAACTTTTCATTTTTTTCTAGAAGCTTAAAGTTGTCACCCCCTCCCCCTGTTTCCTGTGAAAAATGTTTATTTAATATAGAGAGACAAAACTGAAACTTTTTCTCATATGCATGAATAGTTAGAACCAAAACTTATGACATAACACATATGCAAACATCTCAATAGTTAGAAGCAAGCTAGTGCATATTTGCTAAGAAAGTGTCGCTTCTTGTAGATTGAATTTGCTGACTGGTATGTTCTTTCTATGGATGATTAATACTTATTGGATGTTTGCTTTTGTATGATTGCTATGATATGGTTTAAACTAATTACTAAATGAGTGTGTATAACTTTTCATATTTTTCTAGAAGCTTGAAGTTGTTACTCCCCTCGCCCTATTTCCGGCAAAAAAAAAGTTTATTTAACAGAGAGACAAAACTGAAACCTTTTCTCATGTGCATGAAAAGTTAGATAACTTCTTTTCTCATATTATAAGTTGTAAAGGGCATTATTATTTGTGAATATGGTGGGTTGAGAGCCTTTCTTCCTCAAGCCTTTCTTCCTCAAGGCTGTGAATAAAAAAAAGAAGGTAGTATGCAATAAAAGTGCAGGCCGAATTATAGAGTATTTCACAGGACACTAAACCAAATATGAAGAGAGAGCTGCACCAAAGCAATATGTTTTTATAACTCCAAAATAGTAAATTATTGAAGAACTTACTACGTCAAGTACATTGAACAAAAACATAAAGAATGCATAGTGTGTAGTAAACCCATGGCCCTGTCCAAGAGAAGTTTCAGGATTTAGAACACATCGCTCACATGTTCCCAAAATTGTGAACCAAGGATTTTGCTAAAATAAATATATAAAAAAAGTGCCAAAAATGAACCAAGGATACTATTGATAAACAGAATGCAACAGAAAGATAGAAGAATGATTTGAATATTATTGATTAGGATAGTTCAGATTTGAATACTATTGATTAGGATAGTTCAGATACTATAGACAAGGAATAGTATTGCTAACTACTAACTAACACACGAGATAGTACTAACAGTAGTTAGTTAGTTAGGTACAATATACTGAACATAATACATTCCTAATATCCCCCCCTCAAATTCAGTGTGATTTGTGTGAAAACTCAATCACATTGAGTTTGTTTTTCAACTCTGTAAATCTGGATGCAGAGAGCGGTTTAGTCAGCACATCTGCAAGTATGCAACTTGATAAGAACCAGGGATGTGCTGCACTTGAAGTCATTTATGAAGAATCTTTTCTCTGACAAAGTAGAGATCAAGTTCCATATGTTTTATTCTTGAATGAAAGACAGGATTATGAGCTAGATGAACTGCACTTAGGTTATCACAGTAAATTTGAGGCATAGAGTATGGAACTTGAATCTCCTGAAGTAGATACTGGATCCACAAGAGCTCAGCTGCAGTGTCAGCTAGACTTCTGTATTCAGCTTCAGCTGAAGATCTGGCTACTCATAGTGGTTTTCTTGACCACCAAGAGATAAGATTAGGTCCTAAGAACACACAAGAACCAGATCTTGACCTTCTGTCATTGGGATCTGAGGCCCAATCAGCATCACAAAATGCCCTTAGTTGCATAGGAGATCTTGGAAGAATTGGTTGTAGAAGAAGACCATGTTTAAGTGTACCAGAAAGGTATCTTAATATATGTTTGACTGCCTCCCAGTGATCTTCTAAAGGAGATGCCATAAACTGACACACTTTGTTAACTGCATAGCTAATTTCTGGCCTGGTTAGAGTAACATACTGTAGAGCACCTACAATAGATCTGTAGTGTGTAACATCAGGAACATAGTTGCTTCCTTCTTTCAAAAGTTTACAACTACTGAGCATGGGTGTTGTGATGCCTTTAGAATCTTTCATTCCAGCTTTTTCTAAAAGATCTTTGATATACTTTGTCTGTGAGAGATGCAAACTGCCATCAGAAAGTTTTCGAGTCTCAATTCCCAGAAAATAGTCAAGCTTCCCCAAATGCTTCAGTGAGAAGTTGGAGTCTAGTTTTTGAATAAGATGCTGAATAGCAGTGGTATTTTTTCCAATAACAAGAATGTCATCAACATAGATCAACACATAAATCTGAATTGTATTAGAAATATGGAATAGTAATGAGGCATCACACTGTCATAGAATCAGAGCTGGGTGGATGAAATGGAAAAGTGCTTCAGGATTTCTATGCGATCGAGGTATGCCGACTAAACTGAGGTAAATTTTATCGTACAACAATTAGGCCGACATTAATGTATGGCGTAGAGTGTTGGGCGGTGAAGCAATGCCACATTCAAAAGACGAGTGTGACAGAGATGCGTATGTTGCGTTGGATGTGTGGACATACCAGAAAAGACCGCCTGAGGAATGAGGTAATCAGACAAAAGGTGGGAGTAGCACCTATAGAAGATAAGATGCAGGAGTCTCGTTTGCGGTGGTTTGGGCATGTGCATAGAAGACCGAGTGATGCACCTGTTAGACGACTTGAGGGGTGGGGAGAAGAGTCAGAGAAGAGAGGGAGGGGAAGACCCAAACAGACTTGGATTAGAGTAATCAGAACTGATACGCGTCTTCTTGGGTTGGATGAGAGTATGGCTTTGTAGAGAGCAAAGTGGAGGGCGCACATCCATGTGGACGATTGATGTCTTGTCTACCTTTCCTCTCTTGTTTCTTTTATCGTTTATCTTCCTTATCTTTTTATATTCTTATGTTATTTTATCTTCTAGCTTTTTATGCTCTTTTATTTATTTTTCTTTTATCTTGGTTATATTCTTGTGTTGTTGTTATCTTATATTTATGTATCTTTATTTTATTCATTTTATCTTACTTTATTTTTCATTTTCTTGTCCGCCTTCTCTTTTTGGCATCGATATCATAGATCGATTCATGTTAGCCGACCCCAAATTCTTTTGGGATTAAGGCTTGGATGTTGTTGTTGTTGTTGTAATGAGGCATCACACTTGGACTGTTTGAAACCAAAGGAATATAAGGCTGAGGTAAGTTTAAGAAACCAAGCTCTGGGAGCTTGTTTTAAACCATAGATAGCTTTATTAAGCTTGCAGACTAGGGATTTGTCAGAAGAGATAAAACCTGGGGGTTGCACCATGTATACTTCTTCTTGAAGATCACCATTTAGGAAGGCATTATGAACATCAAGTTGTTTTTATAGTCCAGGAATTAGAAATAGCAATTGATAGAAGGATTCTGATAGTTATAGGTTTGACCACTGGAGAGAATGTTTCACTGAAATCAAAACCAAATTGCTGATGGAAAACCTTTTGCAACTAATCTGGCTTTGAATTTGTTAATAGTACCATCAGGGTTTTCTTTTAATCTAAACACCCATTTGCACCCAATGGCATGTTTGTCAGGAGGCAGAGTAGTAAGAGTCCAAGTTTGGTTGTTTAACAAAGCATTATATTCTGTCTGCATGATAGGCAGGTGTCCCAGCCTATTAAATATTTTGATAAGGTGTACAAAAGGAGGAATAAGTAATCAGTTGGGATTCTTATAAGGGGTAAGTTAGGCGGGTATGCCTTAAGTGACGGGTGACTATAAATAGTAGGTAGAAGAGTGGAGTAAGGTAGCTGAGAATTTGGTTGGCTAGTAGTTGGAGATTGGGCATCTCGAATGGTCCATGAGCTTGTATACCTCTGTGGATTTCTTCCGAATTCAATAAACAATTCTATATACTGTTCTACTTTGATTGTGTGTATTCTATTGTTCTGAATTGATCACCAGTGTCTATCATTGGTATCAGAGCAAATTCGTTCCTGGTGACCTCAGCGTGGATCGGAAGTTGTGTCGCAACCTCAGAAATTAGTCATTCCTGGTGTGGATGGTCAGAACTAGAGCTAAAATGGAGCATCGAGTAGATTCACTGGAGCGCAACCTTCTGGAAGTACGTACGAAGTTACAGTTGGAGTTGCGATCTGCGATGGAAAGTATCAATGCATCTATGGCCGCGATGAATGAAAAACTGGCGACCACAGTGGGAGCCAGAGGGAGATCGCGATCGCCGATCAGCCCCGTACATTCCAGAGGTAACTCGGTTCACTCTAATACCAATGATCATCGCCATGGTGATGTGTATTCGAGAATACCTGTACGTAATGGTAGAAGGATAGATTTACCATTGTTTAACGGGGAAGGAGCCTATAACTGGATTATTAGAATGGAAAGGTATTTTCGATTGAACAATATTGACGAGGATGAAAAGGTTGAGGCATCTATGGTCGCTATGGAGGATAGAGCCTTGAATTGGTTCCACTTGTGGGAAAATCAGACTGAAGAAACGAGCTGGGAGACATTGAAGAAATCTATTATTCGTAGATTTCAACCGGAGTTAATTCAGAACCCTTACGGTCCTATTCCGAGCCTGAAACAAACTGGGACCGTGCTGGAGTATAGGGAGGAATTTGAAATGGTGATGGCACCACAACAGAACATGGATACAGATTTGCTGAAGGGGATTTTCATCACAGGTTTGAAGAAGGAAGTGAAATCTGAATTGAAACTGTATGCTTCCAAATCCTTAACTGAAACCATGGATAGAGCCATAATGATTGAACAGAAGAATGAGGCAGTCTATTCTAAAAGAAAGGAGGATGACAAATTCATGGGAAGGGAGAGAGGACCCATACCATTGAAGGTTCAGAACTGGGGAGAAGGGTACAAGTCCAAATCGGGAAGTGCTGGCACTTACAACAGTGAGAAGAATGGATCAGGTAGTAGAAATTCTCAGCCCTGGTTCAATACTAAGGGGGCCAGAGTGACAGAGATTCATCCTTCAGGAATAAAAAAGGTGGGCCCTCAGTTGTCCCAGGAGGAGTATCAGGAGAGGAGTAAAAAGGGTCTATGTTTCAAGTGTGGGGACAAATGGAGTAGGGAACACACCTGCAAATTAAAAAATTACAAACTCATTTTGGTGGAATATTCTGAGGAGGAGGCAGAATGTGAGGAAGAAAATGGGAGCAGTTCAGATGAGGAAGAGGTTGTAATGGAATCCAAATCCATGCAACTATCATTGATGAGCAAGGAAGGCATTCCTTCCATGAGAGCTTTTAAAGTGAAAGGTTACCTAAAATGGAAGCTAGGAGAACAAGAAGTGGATGTATTGATTGATAGTGGAGCCACTCACAACTTCATATCCCAAGGGTTGGTAAATCAATTGAAAATACCCTATCAAATCATTACGGGATATAAAGTGCAGATTGGGAATGGAGATAGAATAGCTAACAATGGCAGATGTGAAGGGTTAGCTCTGTGTTTACAGAAAGCAGTGATACAACAAGATTTTTACATCTTGGAACTGGGGGGAACAGATGTAGTGCTGGGGATGGAGTGGTTGGCAAGTTTGGGAGATGTAGAAGTCAACTTCCAAAAGCAGACTATAAGATGGAAGGAACAGGGACAGGAGCAGTTGGTACAAGGGGATCCACAGTTAAACTCTTTGGAAGTCTCACTGACAACCATGACTCAAATATTACAAGATGCAGGGGATGGATACTTGGTGTTTTGTGAAGGAATATCTGTAGTTTCAGTGGAAGGGGAAGCAGAAGATGACACTTGGAAGCAATTATTGGCTGAATTTCCAGAAGTGGTCCAACCTAGGAAGCAATTGCCACCAAGAAGAAGTTGTGATCATGCTATTCACATTCAGGAGGGAGCTTGCATTCCTAATATCAGACCTTATAGGTACCCACAGTACCAGAAGACAGAAATTGAAAGGATTATAAAAGAAATGTTGAATGAGGGTTTAATTCAACACAGCAATAGCCCTTATAGTAGTCCTATTCTACTGGCAAAGAAGAAAGATGGGGGGTGGAGATTCTGTGGTGACTACAGGGCTCTCAACAAAATTACTATACCCGATAAGTATCCTATACCCATCATTGAAGAACTTTTGGATGAATTGGGTGGGGCAACCATTTTTTCTAAGCTGGATCTGAAATCTGGATACCACCAGATAAGAATGAAGGAGGAGGATAGGCAGAAAACTGCATTCAGGACTCACGAGGGGCATTATGAGTATTTGGTAATGCCCTTTGGTTTAACAAATGCACCATCAACTTTTCAAGCCCTTATGAATCAAGTGTTGAGGCCATTTCTGAGGAAGTTTGCATTGGTTTTTTTTGATGATATCCTAGTTCACAGCAGATCAGTGGAGGAACATCAAGAGCATTTGAGGAAGGTTCTGGGGGCTTTACAAGATAATCAGTTGGTCATTAATGCAAAGAAATGTTCGTTTGGACAGTCTAAATTAATTTACTTGGGTCACATTATATCTGGTGGGGGGGTAGCTGCAGACCCCACAAAGATTGAGGCAATGACAATGTGGCCTGAACCCAAGGACTTGAAGGGGTTGAGGGGATTTCTGGGACTGACAGGTTATTACAGAAGGTTTGTGCAGGGATATAGCAAGATTGCACTACCTCTAACACAATTGTTGAAGAAAGATAGTTTTCAGTGGGGACCAGAAGCTACCAAGGCTTTTGAGGAGTTAAAGAGAACTATGACTACCCTGTCAGTACTGGCAACACCAGATTTTGATAAAATGTTTATAGTAGAGACTGATGCATCTGGGACTGGTCTGGGAGCTGTACTGATGCAGGAAGGAAGGCCCATTGCATATATGAGCAAGGAGTTATCTCAGAGAAATCAGCATAAATCAGTGTATGAGAGGGAGTTGATGGCTATAGTATTAGCTGTCCAAAAATGGAGGCCATACCTCTTGGGAAGAATGTTTGAAATCCACACAGATCAGAAGAGTTTGAGATTTTTGACTGAGCAAAGACTAATGGGGGAAGAACAACAAAAATGGACTTCCAAACTAATGGGGTTTAATTTCATTATCAAGTACAAACCAGGAGTTGAAAACAGAGTTGCAGATGCATTATCCAGAAGACCATTCTTACATTCCCTATCAATTGTTACTTGTCAAGAATGGGAGGGGTTAGAAGAGGAATTGCTGAAGGATCCTAAATGTTTGACATTGTTTCAGAATCTGGTTTCAAAGCCAGATCAATACCCAGACTTCCAGAACAAGAAAGGGTTACTCTACTACAAAGGGAAACTAGTGTTACCTAGTGCATCTCCTAGAGTGACCAAAATATTGAATGAATATCACAGTTCAGCAGTAGGAGGGCATTCTGGGTATTTCAGGACAATGAAGAGGGTTTCTAATTTGTTTTATTGGCAGGGAATGAGGAAGGACATAAAGAAGTTTGTGGAGGAATGTCCTACATGTCAGACAAACAAATATCAAGCCTTAAAACCAGCTGGACTGATTCAGCCTCTACCTATTCCTCAAAATATTTGGACTGACATCAGTATGGATTTTATAGGAGGTCTGCCTACATCACAGGGCAAGGACACTATAATGGTGGTAGTGGATAGGCTGACAAAATCAGCTCATTTTTTGGCTCTATCCCACCCTTTTACTGCAAAGGAAGTAGCTGATTTATTTACCAAAGAGATTGTCAAATTGCATGGTTTTCCAAAAACCATTGTTAGTGACAGAGATCGAATTTTTCTGAGTACTTTTTGGTCTGAAATCTTCAAACTGGCTGGAACCCAACTCAAATACAGTACTGCATATCACCCCAGACTGATGGCCAGACTGAAGTGGTCAACAGATGCTTGGAGACTTATTTGAGGTGCTTGACAGGGAGTAAGCCTAAGCAGTGGGTTAAATGGCTGGCATGGGCTGAATTCTGGTACAATACAAATTACCACAATTCATTGAAAATGACACCTTATAAGGCTCTATATGGGCAGGAACCCCCTACTGTGGTAAGAGGGGATGTCACTTTAACTGCGGTGGAGGAAGTGTCTAAGCTAACTGCTCAAAGAAATATGATACTTAAAGAGTTGAAGGAAAATCTGGAAAAAGCCCAAAATCAGATGAGACAACAAGCTAACAAGCATAGAAGGGAGGTGATTCTAAATGTGGGGGATCAAGTTTATTTGAAGATTCAGCCATATAAACTTAAGAGTTTAGCCAAAAGAATCAATCAGAAACTCAGTCCTAGGTACTATGGTCCATTTGAGATAATGGAGAAACTCAGTTCTGTAGCCTTCAAACTTAAACTCCCAGAAGATAATAAAGTGCATCCAGTGTTTCACATTTCCCTACTAAAGAAGGCCCTATCCCCTACAACTGTTTTTCAGCCTCTACCTAACTGCCTCAGTGAAGAATGGGAACTACAAGTCAGTCCAGAGGAGATGTTGGACTCAAGGATGAACAAAGAAGGCAAGATAGAGGTCCTAGTGCACTGGAAGGGCCTACCACAGTTTGAAGACTCTTGGGAACCATTACAAGCTCTAGCAGATCAATTTCCAGGTCTTCACCTTGAGGACAAGGTGAAATTTCAGGGGGGGAGTAATGATAGGCAGGTGTCCCAGCCTATTAAATATTTTGATAAGGTGTACAAAAGGAGGAATAAGTAATCAGTTGGGATTCTTATAAGGGGTAAGTTAGGCGGGTATGCCTTAAGTGACGGGTGACTATAAATAGAAGGTAGAAGAGTGGAGTAAGGTAGCTGAGAATTTGGTTGGCTAGTAGTTGGAGATTGGGCATCTCGAATGGTCCATGAGCTTGTATACCTCTGTGGATTTCTTCCGAATTCAATAAACAATTCTATATACTGTTCTACTTTGATTGTGTGTATTCTATTGTTCTGAATTGATCACTAGTGTCTATCACTGCATAGCCTGAAACCACTCAGGTGAGTCAAGAGCCTGTCTAACTGATGTTGGCTCAGTATGAGCTAGGAGCAAGGTTGGATTAAGTCTAGGTTTTACTATGCCTGATTTAGCTCTAGTGTTCATAGGATGAACATCGGAAGAAGGAACTAAAGAAATAGGAGCAGTGATGGTAGGTGGAGAATTAGAGCTAGGTGACTCAGAATTAGAGTGAGATGACTCAGAGGTAGAATGAGATGATTCAGAGTTAGAGTTAGATGACTGAGATGACTCAGAAATAGAATTAGATGGCTCAGGTTGAGTAGTAGTATTATGTTGAGAGACTGAAAGAGATGATAAGTCTGATACAGGAATTAATGAAGATGATGGGGTTTGCAGAATTGTTAAGGGTGTGTTTGTAGGTAGGTTGGATTGAGCAGAAGTAGTATTTGGAGAAAACAAATGAGTATAAGGAAATTTGAACTCATCAAAAATAACATCTTTGGATATATAGACTTTTCCAGTAGAAGCTAAGCATTTGTAGCCTTTGTGTTGAGGACAGTATCCTAAAAAGATACATTCTTCAGAATGAAACTGAAATTTGTGTTTATTATATGGTCTGATAAAAGGGTAGCAAGAGCATCCAAAGACTCTTAAGAAGGTGTAATCTGGAATAGATTTATAAAGTTTAGTGTAAGGAACTAGATTAGAGATAGAAGCTGAGGGAGTTCTATTGATTAGATGAACTGCAGTAGCAAAAGCAGCATCCCAAAATTTGAAAGGAAGTGAGGAATGGGCTAATAGACTTAGACCTTTTTCAACAATAGATCTGTGTTTTCTTTCAACTACAGCATTTTGATGGTGAGTATGAGGACAAATCAATCTCTGTGTTATGCCTTTTTCAGTAAGAAAGGAAGTAAAAGGCCTGAATTCACCTCCCCTACTTGGACCTACGATCAATGATGCATTTGTTTAACCATGATGCTGAATATTTATCTCTTATTTCCTGAATCAGCAATACATATAGCTGATTATTTAATGGGGCACTATATACTATCGTATATTACTATGCACATGTTGCCAGTTAGAAACTTATTTACAATGATATTGAGTTCAGAAGTGTAATAAAGCTTTAATTATTCTCCAAATGATATTTTAATTCAATTGAACTTTATGAGGTCAATATATCCTTTGTTTGGCACAGAGGATTTCCTGTTTGGCTGAAATACATGTCCTTGATAGAATTTGGAACTGACAATCAGCCCTTCGTGGTTAGTTTATCTACATTTGTATTTATCTATTCTAGACAATAAGCTGGCTACAATTTATTTTCCAGCTTTATTTACTTGAGGAAACAAAAATAGCAGCTTGATTGTGGCAGGAAACAAAAATCAAAGGACTTGAATGCTACTATGTTTTTCGATGTGTTATAAAATGAATTTGTTTGTATGGTATTCCACCATTAGGATTGAAGTGTACTCAGTAGGGAAACATCCCAACTTTTCTTTTGTTTTTTCTTTGCATATTATTTTAATAGTCTTCCTTAGATTTTTATCAAAAACTATTGATTTACCACATTTCCTGCAACATTCACGACTTCCAGGGCGATTCTTACTTTGCTGGAAAACCACTGTCAACCTGCCACCTCTACCAATTGTGCCATTATATAAAGACTAAAAGATGTAAGAATATTTAAGAAAAAATATAAAAAGTAATACGTAGTAATACTTTTCATTGTTGGTGGTAAACCACCAAAGTGAACAGAAGAAACGTGAATGTGATTACTTTGAAGAGACGCACTTTAGATCTAAGAAAGCAGGGCTGTAATAACGATACAACATCACACAAGGTTGTAATTTTTTCCCTTTTTCTTTTTCATTTTCGGTAATGCAGCCTTATGTTGATAGCTGCTGCATACTGTCTTTACAGAACTTCACTAAGAAATATAGCCTCTAATTTACATTGCTAAGCGGCGAAAGGGGACAGGGTGAGAAAAGAGTGGGGAGTCCCTAGAGATTATTTTAGTACATAGGAAGATAGATGTACGTGCTTGACATCAATGGAGATGTTCAACTCGTCTATAATAACAACCTTCAGCCGGAGAAACATGTTGATGAAACACTAAAGCTACTTCAAAGTCTATAATCTGGAGTTTCTATGTTCATATGTAATCTTTGAACTTTATGTGTGCGCTGTTAAGATTGTTGTTCATATTTTGGTTTTAGCCAACAACAATGTTGTAACCTCAAATTATATTTGAATTCATATAGATTCCTCTTTCTTTATTAAATCAAGAATCAAGTTAAGGTTTGTTTAGATTGTATGAAAGCTCCTACTTAGGCTTGGCTGAATGCCTAAATCCGATGTTGATATCAATCAATCTTTTCTTTGCCAACAAAATTCATTGAGCTCTTATGCGGCTTATGTGATTTAAAGTGCGTCTCTTCTAATTAATTTGTGTTTTTTAGATTTAAAGTTAGTATATATACTGATTTTCTATCCTTTTATTCAACTAAATACTCTGTTTTCAAAAGTAAATTTTGATACTAAAATCTTGAAACTAAATAAATGTATTAACTATTTGACCCTACCTTTATGTAGTGTACTATGCAGAATTGTGCTCAAAGGAATGCTATGAGATTGCCGAGGTAAAAAATTAACTATTTGACCCGAGGAAACTAATGCTTCTTCAATGAAACTATGGATTGACAAAAGCTGCATTTTTGTGACTTAAAAGCTGCATTTTTGTGTGTTAAAAGCTGCATTTTTTTATATGTCATGCATTGTCTCAAGTAAGCAGTTCATATTTGTTTATCATTTCATTTTCCTAAATAAACTAAACTATAATTTTTTAAACCATAATACAATATTTTTTGATTTTTTAGTTTACTGAAACGGGCTCTTAAATTTTCCTAAAATGTATGACTACAGAAAGCGGGATCTTAAACGAGTTTGAGAAACGCATGAGACCCGAAGTCATCCTTCTACATGAGATTGGAGTGACATCTGAAGATGTTAGCTCGGTTGATGAGATTAAAGAGTCTCAAGGACATGCACCGGCGACCAGTTTGATGACCCGAGTCAGCTTAAAGGGCTAAATGTCTCATATTTCCTGGTTGGGTCAGCAAAATAAACTAGATCTGTTGTAACCATAGTGATCGACAATGCCTAATCGCCGCAGAATGCCTAGGAGGCTTCAGGTGAGTCGATTGAGCATGGCAGTTCTCCTCCATTGACTAAGAGTTGGTCATGCTTGATGGTGGTCTTCTTAAGTCATGCAGAGACATATTGCCCTTTGGTTCTCCTGGTACCGGGAAAGCTATGATGGCCAAGGCAATCTCAAATGAATCCGGAGCAAGCTGGAGAACACCAAGTCATGTACAATATTAAGAAGTTTAAAGTTCATGACATGCAATGTACCAACACATGTAATGTTGATGAGGCAGAGTGAAAAATAATTTAAATGCACTATTATTTAGAATATAAAAATTACTTGAATTGTGTAAATTTCAAATCTTTATAAAAACAAGTAGGAAAATTTGTCTAAAAAGTTTTTTTTCTTCATGTAATTATAAATTTGGCGGTGCTTGAAAAAACGAATTACTGAAGTAATAGATATTACGTAGTAATTATTTTAGTAATCCAAAGGCTTACTAATTTTTAATGTTAAACATTTTTTTGGTACAAGTTAAATTTAAACTGAAGTGTTTGAACTAATACAAAAGACTTTTATAATCAATCATCATCTACTAAGTGTCGTAATTCGTAAAGGCTTCCACCTATGGTGAGGGGTGAGGTGTAGGGTGTTATGTTCAATGAATGTAACTTAATTAATAAAAATGATCATGTGCAACACACGGGTGAAGAAGATCATGAGATGATATTACAATCGAAGAGATGTATGTAAAATATACTGGATCATGAGAAGTTGTTTAAAATTCATGAGATACAATGGAGAAAGATATAAAATTGAAAAAAAAAAGACGTAGATTAGGAAAATTTTCAATAATTTTTAATGTGTATGAGTGTATATTTTAGGGATGGACTCGGGCCGGGTGGCCCGACCCGGAACCGGCCCGGGACCGGTACTGTTCCGGCCGGGCCCGGGCCCAGTTCGGGCCAAAACCTATTTTTTTAATCAATTTTTTTTTAAATTTTCGGGTTGGGCTGGGTATTTTGGGCCATTTGGGGTGGTTTGGGGGGTTGGGGGTGGGAGGGGGGTTAATTAGGAAGAGGAAAACAATAATAATAATAATAATGGGCCCGGCCTGGCCCGGCCTTGCCCGGGCCGGTCCTGGGTCCAACATTTCTGAACCGCCGGCCCGCCCGGGCCTAGGCCCGACCCGGACCCGGCCCGGACCCGAGTCCATCCCTAGTATGTTTATTAAACTTCTAATATATATTTTTATATATTTTTGACTTCTCTCATTCGTGTGATAAAACAAAATATATGATCTAAAAATCTAAAATTATATTTATATATGAGAGATTTACCTAAATAGGACTAAAACTAGGTAGAATTTTAAAAACAGGACTGCTATGTTTTATTTGACAAAAATAGGACTAAAAAGAAGTAATATACCAAAACTACCCTTAATTAAAGTCTAATGCTCTGTCGAGCAACTATTGCTATGCACACTAGCGATGCACAACGGCCTCCATCGTTGTTGATGCTTCTAGCGGTGCTGCCACAGAACATTACCGCAATCCAATCAAACCACAACCTCCGTCTGCCACCCTCCGGCGAGACAAAAACCACCATCAATCATTAGTGCAGGACCTCCTCCTGCAGCAAAATCACAAAGCAGGACCATAGCTTAAAAACTTATTAGGTAGGTAATCTCTTCTTTTTCTTCCTAGTTCTCTGCTTTTTTTTTTAATTTTTTATCAATAAGATTTTAAATAAAATTTTGATTTTTGAAAGTTTCAAATGAAGATATACCTGAACTTGAATTTCTTGTTATCAATTACAAAAAATGACACTTTTGAATAAGAGAATGTCATAATTATTGGGTATTTTTACAAAATGACACTTTTATGTCATTACAATATTTGAAAATGACATATTTAGAATGCCACGTTTCTATACAAAATTGTCATTATTTTGTTATTATGCATATTAAGTGGCATTCTTAAAACATGTCAATTTTTGAAAAATGAAATCTTGTGTAGTCTGATGTTAAAATAATGTTGGCATTTTGGAATAGAAAGATGACATTTACAGTTATTAAAACATGTCATTTTCGAGTAAAGATGACATTTTCGAATTACAGTGTCTAAAATAATCTGAAATTTAAAAGAAGAACAAAACAGAGGGGAAGAAGAAGGAGAAGGAGGAGAAGAAGAAAAAGAAGAAGATGCGGAGGAGGAAGAGTACCTGGGGAAGATATTACAGCTGTGATGATGGCGGTTGAGCTGCATCCATGGCAGCTGGGGAAGAAATTACAGCTGCGATGATGGCGGTTGGGTTGCGTCCATGGCAGCTGAGTCGCAATCGATGTAATCGCAGGCAACTGCTTCATTGCAATCGCAGGTGCGATCGAAGCAGATATGTGATCGATGTAGAGGGATTGGGGAAAAGGTGATTTAGGGATTATGGGTAAAAATGTAATCTGGAGTCCCATTTAGGCAAATTAAAACTTGAAGTCCTATTTTGGAGTTTTCACCATGTTTTAGTCCCATTTAGTATAATTTCTTTTTATATATCCGTCCCCTAACATTAGTACAAGAGGAGATGATGCAGTTATCAAGAAAATTAAGTTTATGCGATAAATATCGAATTGATAAAATAATAACCAAGTATGAATTATTTAGAACCATATAAATGTAACCAAATTTAATTTGAGACGATTTTAATGGAATAGACCAAAAAGGCATTAGAAAAACAATTTTAGCATGATAGAGAAAGTAACATTTACAAAATAAGCATATTACATACCGCGCATCACACGGGTGAGTCACTAGTATACATCAATGCATAAAAGAAGAAGAACCTTTGTTCAAAAATAGAAAAGAACAACAACATGGGACTGCATATCATGTTAACAATGTGTTGCATGAATGGGGTTTACTAACACTAATTTTTCTGTTACACGTTTCTGAATCACTCAGGTGCTAGATGTGATTAACTTGCTTCATTTGATGATGTCAAACTCCGCATTTTTATTAGCGCCTTGATGTTCCTTTAGGAACACCGCACATGGGGTCAATACACATACACCCAGGGTAGTAAAAAGCGCGCGTCTGAGACTTAAGCGCACCTGCACATATGAGGGTCAACGCCTGTAAGAGTCCCAGGCGCAGTCACCTGGGTAAGGCGTAATAAGCGCAGAAGTGCTCAAAAGCGCACACTTAAGACGCTTGGCCTGGGAAAGGCTTATCGGCCTATTTATTTATTTATTTATTTATTTGATCCTACTTTAAATAATAAGCCCATACTTATAATAAGATTTAGCCCATTCAAATAATAGGTCAAAACATATTAAACCCATGTTAAACCCTTCAAAGTCACGGTAAAAGCCTTCTATAGCTTGACTCAATCGTTACTCTCTCATGCTCTACTCACGCAACAGGTTCATTGCTGACACAACATTCAACGATAAACCCACAGAAGTCAGCAACCCATAACGTCTTCTTCATCATCTTCCCGATTGGGTTCTTTCTTCTTTCTTTTTCAGATTGTAGTAATGTAGTCTTCATTTATTTTATCATCTTCTTGGTCATCCTTCCTTTTTATTCTTTCAGTCTATCTTACTCCTTTATTTTTATTGTTTTCTTTGATTCTTATATATTCTATACAGCTCAAACATATTACATGTATCTGACAGTGCATACTTTATAGTTCTCTTTGCTTCTTAAATATTCTATACTTTATAGTTCTCTTTGCTTCCTATATATTCTATACTTTGTAGTTCTCTTGGCTTCATATATATTCTATACTTTCAAGTTCTCTTTGCTTCATCTTATTATACATTCTATTACACTACATCTTCTTATTATCATTTCATATTTGAATTGTATAAAACTTCATATAATATAACTTAGTTAATAGTTTCATACACTACACAATTTATGCTACCCCTAGCCCTCAAACTACAAAATCAGCTAAAACAAATCCTACTTGGTGTTTTGTTTTTGTGAACCATGACTTTGTTATTGTGGATTCTGACTTTGTTATTGAGAAATATGACTTTTTAATGCATTTAGTTCAATATGATGTTGAATATGTCATATTTAATAGTATACTACGTATATAATATTTTCTAAATAGTGCACTTGACATGAGTGAGGTGAGCGCTTTTTTGCACCTTGCGCCTCAGGCGATATAAATACTCTAGCGTCATGAGTGCGCCTCGTGACTTGACTACCTTGCATACACCCATTGTTAGGGCAGCGGCCATCTGCTATCCATAGGACCTTTTGGTTAGTTTTTAAATATCTGGATTTGCACTTACGATTTCTTGTTGTTTCCTTGAGCATCTGTATTCCTTGGGCCAGTAGTTTAGTTTTATTTAATTATTTAGTCCCCTGAATTGTTTATTTTGATTTGAAAATTAATCCACTCTCTATTATGAAAATAACCATCCTGATAGACTATATGTCTGGAGAGAAGTGAGAGCTAGAGAGTGAAGTGATTTGTATTAAATGAGTTTCGAACCCTTACAACTACTCCCAAGGGGAGTATTTATAGGGGAAAACACGGGATGGGCTCCCAAGTCTTGGGCTTGGGAGACCCATTACAATATAAGGCCTCTATTGGGCTGATTACATTCGAATATATTAGCTAAGTATGGGAATCTGGCTCTAGGAGACGAGCGTCTGGCTAACGGCAGTGAGGCAGACGAGGGTCCGGGAGACGAACGTCTGGCTGACGGAGGTAGTGCTGAAGGCCGTACGTCCTTGGGTCTCCCATGTGCTAGAGGCCGTACGTCCCCGAGGGTCTTCCATATGCTAGAGGCTGTACGTCCCCGGGGTCTTCCATATGCTAGAGGCCGTACGCCCCCCGGGGGTCTTCCATAGGCTAGAGGCCGTACGTCCCCGGGGTCTTCCATATGCTAGAGGCCGTACGTCTCCGGGGGTCTTCCGTATGCCAGAGGCCGTACGTCCCCGGGGGTCTTCCATGTGCTAGAGGCCGTACGTCCCTAGGTCTTCCGTATGCTAGAGGCCATACGTCTCCGGGGGGTCTTCCGTGTGCCAGAGGCCGTACGTCTCCGGGGTTCTTCCATATGCTAGAGGTCGTACGTCCCCGGGGGGTCTTCCATATGTTGAAGGACATACGTCCTCGGGGTCTTTGGGCCACTTGGGCTTGTCGGGCCTGTTCGTAGTAGTGAGAGTATGTGGGTCATGGGGTCTGGACCCATATACTCCAACACATCCTTTCTTTTTCAATTATGTCATCATATTTTTTCCTTTATTAACTATAGCCAGTTAGCAACTTTCTAGGCAAAAAAGTAAAACCCATAATCGCATTAGCACCAAGCCTGGTCTTTAATTTATTTATTCTAAAGCTGATTGTTTATTCTCAAGTCCCTCATGTTGCTAGTGCGGTTGTGTTTGAGTTCTATTGCCTGTTTTGATTTCGATTTCCCATTAGCAATGTTGAACTTACTGTTTTAACTTTGCCTTCCATATATAGGACAAGATTATTGACTGCCGGCATATCCAGGAATACTATGATAAAGCTCTAACAATTGGTTTAATAGGTTATGCTCAGTTGTATTTCTCTGAGGTGTGTTACATTGTATTGGTCAGAGCATTTCTCTCTATTTAGAGCACATGTCATCTAATCCTATTCAACTTATAGTCCAAGAACCAGGTTAAAAACTAAATTGTAAAATGACTAAAAAAATAAAGTTAGGTGTCTAATTAATTAGATGCACAGATGAGTGAAAGTTGGATGTATAGTAGGTGTGAATGTTTGATACATAATACTAAGAGCTTGTTTCTCAATTGTGATGAATAGTATTTTGCTATATTGTGTGTTAACCGGTACATATAAGCATTTCACTTCATCACTGTCTCATAAAGGCATGATATTTCCATGCAAGTGAAATGACCTACCATGATGGTTTTAGAAATGCGTCTCATTATTCATTCATACTTCCTTCACAGGAGAGTTGCAACAATGTTCGTGGCTTGCTTAAAATTTTGTCACCTTGCGAGTATGCATGAATTTATAGTGTGCAGTTGGTAACTAATCTACGCTCTATAAATTAATCATCGTTATAAATTTAATCCCACCAATCCCAAATCCCAACTAGTTGATATTAAGATGATCATGATGATGACCATTTCTCAAGTTTTACTTTGTACTGCTTGCAAGATGAAGCAATTCTACCCCCACTGCCAATCCAAAACTACTTCCCAACCACCACAAATGAACTCAGCCTCACACACTCGTTAATGGCCGCCAGCAAAACCATCAATGGTGACTGCTGCCACAATAAATGTGACCCTACTAGCCGCCTCGTTAACCCCACCACACCCCAGCCCTCAACCCCACCACACCCCAGCCCTCAAGCCCACCACACCACACCCCGCCCCTTCCTTGCACAGTCACGTGAAACCCTAGGGTTAGCATCGCCGCTGTCGACTTCATATGAAAATAAAGGACCTAAATCCCAGCTGCCAGGATCTTTGCCTCAGATCTGGAAACTAGGACGACGACGACAATCTTGTTCTACCATGCTCGTTCATCTTGTCGCCGCTTCAATGAAAACGACAATGTAAATTTGGTTCCGATTTGGAAATGTTTAAATCAGATATCACGGCGGAACAAGGGTTCGATTTGCACTCTTGCCTATGTTGCAATGGTCACAACTCTGCGTGCTCTGGCTGCTCCAATCCGGTTGCTGCTTGGTAAAAGTTTAAGAAGCCTCTTTTCGTTCAAAAAATAACATGGTTGAATCTCCCCGTGAGTTTATTGCAGCTTTGAAAGAGAGGCAAAACCCTCTCCAATAAAACCGCACCTCTCGTCGCCATCTGTTTCTAAGTACTCTCCTTGGCGCACATATAAAAACCAGAAGCCTTTATATATATAGGAATACATCTGGCACAGATAGCGTGTGGATTGTAAGAAAGTGGTGTTAAAAATTGTAGATATTAGTTACTACGTATTATCCAATGTTCTAAGAATGAAAATAAAGAAGTTACAAAAAGACACAATTTCCTTGATTTTAATGACATTGACATTTATGTTTTTGTAGCTTTTTTATCATATGCTTAGACAAGTCGTAGTTCTGGACTGGAATGGAACCATGATTGTCCTAATTTTTGGACTAAGGTTGGGAATTTTTCACAAATAGATCAAAAAGTAAAAATAATATCACTTTTTTCAATTCCCTTTTCGAAAATAGACTTGCTAAACTTCTTTTCAGAAATAGACCTCCTCATATGAAACTCACTTACTTAGAAAGTTAATGGCCGAAGCTCCATCTTGACAACAGTACGTGCTAAAATACTCTCTATATGGCATAGATTTGATATGGCTGAAGCTCTAAAGTTAACCCACTTTCTTAAATACACCGTAAGGTAATTACTGAGTTTTTTGTTTTTATATTAAAATGTTAAACTTCATTAAAATTTAAAATATGATAATAATTAGGAAACACTAAAATTTAAAAAACTAAATACTGAAATCTAAATAAAAAATGAAAGAAACCCTAAAAACTCAAACATAAAAAAATTAATAAATGCATAATAAAAATGAAAATTTGAAACTTGTAAAGCAAGTTTTAAATCAAAAAATTTAGATTAAAAAACAGAAAATTAATCTAAGCTGTAAAGAGAGGAAAATTTTAAATAGTCGAAAATCAAGAATATGAAAATTAAAATATCTAACATGCAAAAAACTGCAAAAGTTAGAGAACAAAATAAAAGTATGAATTATGTAATTAAAAAATGTAAGAGTCACAAAACAATTATATTTGATTTTTGTAATATTTTTTAAAATATTTAAAAAGTATTATTATTAATTAGTATTATTACTTTCCACTTCTTTTATTTATGTAGCATAATTCTTTTGCGTTTCTTTTTGTTGATAACTTTAATTGTTTTTTACTGTTTCTTCATGTTTCTTCTTGTTGCTCGTAATTATAAACTCAAATTTATCATTTTATGCGTTTGCATGTATAGTTTTTTTTTTGCAAACAAACACACACATATAGTTATATACTCTGTATGTTTTTTATTCCAAAAAAGTAGCAAAGATAAATATAAACCTAAACAGACAATAAAATTCAATATCAACAAAAATAACAATAAGCAACAGGATGCAACAAAATGCAACAATAAGCAACATGTACGACGAAACAAAAGGAAACAAAAATAACATACTCGTATAAGAGTATCACAACAAATACATAGTTCAAGCTGTTATTTGAATGTATTGCATATCTATTAGACTAGTGCATCATATAATATATATATATATATATATATATATATATATATATATATATATATATGGAGCGGATCAGCTGAGAAGTGCCCTTAGGCTGAGAAGCTGAGAAGTCTAACTTATAAGAAAAAAAATGAACTTTTAACCAAAAATCATAACTTATAGACCCCCTCAAAAACACGAACTTTCTGCAAAAACAAATTCCAGGTTTCTGGAGTTATTTTGACGCGGTGGCATTTTCGTAATTTTTTTAGAGGGGGTCTATAAGTTATGATTTATTGGTTAAAAGTTCGTGTTTTGAGCTTATAAGTTAGACTTCTCAGCTTCTCAGCCTAAGGGGGACTTCTCACATGATCTTTTCTCTCTCTCTCTCTCTCTCTCTCTCTCTATATATATATATATATATATATATATATATATATATATATATAGAGAGAGAGAGAGAGAGAGAGAGAAAGAGAGAAAAGATCAGGTGAGAAGTCCCTCTTTAAATGAGAAGTGAGAAACAATCTCAGCCCTTGGATTTGCATCTAATCTTACAACGCAGTAAACTTATAGACTGAATATAGGAACTTATAACCAATAAATCATAACTTATAAAGCTCTCCATCATAAATACGAAAATGCCACCGCGTCCAAAATTTTTCAAAGTTTCCAGGCTTATTTTTTGGCGGTGGCATTTTCGTAATTATTTTCGACTGTGTTTATAAGTTATGATTTATTGGTTAAAAGTTCATGTTTTTAGTCTATTAATTAAACTTCGTAGTTCTCAGCCTAAGAGCACTTCTCACTTGATCTGCTCCCTATATATATATATATATATATATATATATATATATATAAAATAAGGATCAAATGAGAAGAGTGCTTATCGTAAGAAGTGAGAATGCATCTGGTGCGTTCATTTTAAGATCTGTGCATCAGATTAGCAAAAAAGTGCACGGAAAAGTGCAAAAAATATTTAAAAGGTGATGCTAGACGCGGTGGCATATCCGTAATTAATCGGAACTTTTCTGCCATCGCAAAAAGTGCATCAGATTAGCGAAAAGTGCATCAGAAAGAGGCAAATGTGAAGTTCTCACTTCTCACGTTAAGATGTCTTCTTATTAGAACCCAACCCTATATATATATATATATATATATATATATATATATATATATATATATATATATATATATATATATATATATAATATAATACGCCTAAAAAAAAACCAAGACAAAGATATAAGAAACCCTAGCGATTATCCGGCGACGTCGCTAACGGATGGTCTCGGCGGCGGCTTGGGCTGCTCCGCCTGGAGCAGCGGCACGCTCTTTTGCGGAGGTTTTGGCGGTGAACAAGGAGGTTCCCATGAAGGTACCGTTTCGGCATAAAGGGATGCCAGCGGTTAAATTTTCTGAGGAGGAGGTTCTCACCGTGGCGGAGCAACACAAGTGCGCATTGATAGGTTCTTTTGCCAGAGGTCGTCCAGCGATGACCACGATCCGTTTGGAGTTTGAAAAAATTGGCTTTCAAGGAACTTTCACGCTTGGTTTGCTAGATCAGAGGCACATCCTGATTAAGTTTGTATCGGAGGATGACTTCCAACGTTGCTGGATGAGACAAGTTTGGAGCATATGCGGTTTTAAGATGAGGATCACGAGGTGGACACCAGATTTTAGACCGGACGTAGAATCGCCAATAGTCCCGGTCTGGGTTTTGTTTGATGGCCTGCCGATACATTTGCAAGATAAGAGAGCGTTATTTTCTATTGCCGGAATGATAGGAAAGCCTCTCAAGGTTGACGCGGCAACGACCAACCTAACTAGACCATCTACGGCAAAGGTTTGCGTGGAACTTGATCTTCTACAAGAAATACCCTCCAAAGTGCTAATTATGAATGGGAGCAAGGAAATAATTCAATCGGTGACTTATGAACATCTGCCCTCTTACTGTGTAAAATGTAACCGACTTGGCCACTCCAAATTAGAGTGTGGGTCCTCTAAGCCAAGGAAGGAGATTCTACAGCCTCAACAAAAAGAAAAACACACACCACATATTATTAACAAAGCTCCGGAAGAATGGGTACAAGTATCAAGGAAACTTAAGGGGAAAGCCAAAATTGTGGAGAAGGTTACACAAGAGGTGCCTGAGTCTTCTAAGGTAAATGAAATTGAAGTCCAATCCTCGATTCAGGAGGAACAGGGGTTGGAAGAAGGTGAAATGGTGGGGGAACAAGAAGCGCCAATTCTGACTACATCAGGGGAGTTAATGGGGGGACAGTTTCCTGCGGTAGAGGAGGCGGTGAATAATGAATTGGAAGCGGTGAATAATGAACTGGTAGAGATGGATACTACTAAATTAATAACAATGGAGGAAGACTCGGTAGTGAATAAAGAGTTGAAATTGCTAGGAGATGCGGTGGACTCTTCTAAATTAATAGCATTGGAGGAAGGCACGGTAGTGGTGGAGGCAGACCATATCATAGTTGAGCAGGAAGGTTTTGATTCAGAGGGCGAACAAGTTTGTGTAGAAGACTTGACAAAAGAAGCTTGGAAAGAAGTTTGTGGGGAATTGAAGCACAATGTAGAGCTGGTTCTTGACAAAAAAGCTGAGGTTCTAGGTGGGGCTCCTAGAAAGAAAATCAAAGAAACATATCCTCCTTCTTCAGTCACTACACGGTTAGCGGCTAATAGGAACACTAAGGATCCCTCCCGAAGTGTTTCCTCATGAAGCTACTCACATGGAATTTGCGTGGCCTTGCTTCGTCGTGCCCGAGGCTACGTGAGATTGTTAGGCGCTATTCCATTAATTTGGTTTCCATTATTGAACCAATTGTTGGCCCGGATAAGGGAGATCATTTTTTACATTTTTTGGGTTTTTCAAACATTTTCATGTCGGCTTCTAATAAGATTTGGATTATGTGGAATGCTGAGGTTTTCGATGTGGTTTCTATAGAGGACAAAGACCAATTTTTAATGATCAAAGTGAATTTTATTCCATTGGATTTTTCCTTTGTGCTTACACCAGTTTATGGGCAACATACAAGGGTAGAGAGAGCCATACTTTGGGAGGGGCTTGTTAACTATGCACAAACAGTTTCAACGGCCTGGATTCTAGGAGGTGATTTCAATATTGTGGCTTCCCTTTCTGAATATAAGGGTCCAGCAAGTCCTTTACTGCCGGATATGCAAGATTTCAGGGAGTGCATTGATGATTGTGGTTTGGAGCAAATTAAAACTATTGGATCTAGCTATACGTGGATAGGGGTAAGGTCTAATGGTCGTATCTGGGAACGTTTCGAAATTTGAAGCCATTAGCATTCAACACTTGAGCAAAACACCATCGGATCATTACCCCATTCTACTTCTATGTGAGGCATCTACGCAGAGGGGTCCATCTCAATTCAGGTTTCAGAACATGTGGTTTACACATGAGGGTTTTATTCCTTTTGTGAAGACTAAATGGGCCGAATACCCTACGGTAGGAGGAATGAGGGGTTTATGGACTAAGCTTCGAGATTTTAAGGAAGATGTGAGGAAATGGAACAAAGAAGTCTTTGGGGACATTTTTGGGGAGACTAAGAAGCTGGAGAAGGAAGCCATTCAAGCTGAAAAAGATTTTGAGGAGAATCCTAGCTCTACTACGAGAGCCGTATGCCACCGCAAGCAGGCTGGGCTCCTTAAACGAGTGAAGCAACAAGACATTTTTTGGAAGCAAAAGGCCTGTGTTAAATGGCTCAAAGACGGGGATGCCAATACCAGCTTTTTT